TATTTGGAAATACTTGTAGTTATAATATTTTTACTATAATTTCAGATTAAAAATTCTTAAGTTATTAGAAGTAGTTGAAGACAATGCTATAGCAACATTTGCTTATGATGCACATGCTGTAAATTTCTTTAATAATTGTATGTGTACAATACAAACAAATACAATGCCATGGACAGCACCAACTGCATGTGTAGATAATATTCAAGCATTAATAGATGCTGAAAGTAGACCATTATCAGATGACCAAAGATTAGAAGAGGAAACAATTAATTATTGCATAACATTACTAAGGAGATTATACAAAGTGGCTGCATCAGACATTAAAGTTCAAGGGGTATATAAATAATATTTTCTGTAATGTTAGAAAAATGTTAATATATTATATTATGTGTTTTTACAGTTTAATGTACTATTAATGGATAAAGTAATACTATTAGCATATATGGGTCATAAAAGGCAACGAGGTCCTGCTTTGAAACTTTTACAACAAGCCCTTGCTGCAAATATATTATCACATGTACATAATAAATTATCAGTTGCATGGGCTCGATATATATCAGCATTACAATCTATATACTGCAAACGTATGTTACTTTTAGTAACAGCCTGTGAATTAGATTGGGCTACACAATGGAATGTCAGTATCCAGTTTCTTGGTGTGGACCTCCATCGTGGTGCTGGATTAATAAATAATTTACTGAGTGTTGAAGAAAAGGCATTTAAGTCTACAGATACAATCATACGCAGGTATATACAATGATTATACAGGGTGCTCCATCAATTCTGCCCACTGTTATGTCTTTCTTGTAATCATACAAATTTTTTAGTAATGTTTTTACTTATTACTTGAAATAATGGAGATATTTGAGGTAGATGGAGTTAATGAGACATCCTGTATATGAAGTAATAACATTTAATAAATATAAAAAGTAATGTAATATTTTAAACTTCAGACAAGCATTCCTTTCATGGAAGTTACTGGTGGACAATTTTGCTTTAGACCCACAAGAACTTGCTACTGCTAGACGGATAAAGTTATTGTGTATTCCACTGAATGCCAAAAATAGTAAAACAGAATTGATAGCATTAACAAAGTTAGAAGTGTGGTGGCATGTAATTATTAAACTTTACAAAGACATTTCTAAATTTGTCAATCCTGTGATTACACAGTTCTTAGATTTTTGTTTTGGACCTCTTGGAGATACACCATTATTGTCTTCAAAGTTCGACATAGTAGCTTCTCCAGGAAAGAGATTCTTTAAAACAAAAGTTGTTGCTGTAGATGCTTTATGTCAACTCCTTGTCAATAAACAAGAAAATCATAGTGTCTTTTCCCCAATTTTGGAAGAAAGACTTCCACATTCTATCTCTAATGCTGTTTTCCAAGAATGCTACAAAAGGATAATTCATAGTGTTGGAGAAGCTTTGCTTGTTCTTAGCCAACTTACAGATGCAGAAATGAAAAACAGATATCAACTTGGTAAAATATTGTGGACAAATTTAATCAGTTATGTACAAGAATCAAAAATAGAGGAGAAGGTTAGTTCAAATATTGTTCAAAGAGAACATTTAATATTTTGAAAAAATTACATATGAATAAGTAATTATTAAATTACATAATTTTACAGGAGATTATGTGTAAAGATATGATGCTGGTTATTACAGAATTAGTAAATTATGCTGAAAGTAAACCAATGATTCGAAATTTAATTCTTGATATAATTTTGTTTGAAATTGCTGATCTCAGTAAAAATTTCAATTTTCAAGGTGATATATTGTCAGGATTGGTGTTCAAACTTTTACAAATTTCAATTTTAAATAAAGCTGAAAAGTAAGTATTGTCATAAATGTATTTAATATATACTAAAAATCATGT